ATACGTCATCTTTATAAATGGCACAAATACAAAGTCAATGTCGCATACTAATGTAACATTAACTTATGTATTTATTTCCTTTACATCTTCGTGTCAAGCAACGATATGAAATTACATTCCAACTTGATTATAATTTAATTTCATATTGAATATTACATAGTATGTGCAATGTTACTTTGATTTTCATAAAGGTCCATTCAGACAGGGGCGGAGAGCAGGGTAAATTTTTTTCACGTAAATAATATTGAGTTTAAAAAAATGAAAGAAAGTTTAATTTTACTTTGCACATGTTTTCTTATTAAGCACAATCGTAAAAAAGACAAGAGAAATATAATTAAATTCAGCTTTATCATATAAAGCTCTTTTTCACTTGCGATAAAAATCTGCTCTGTTCTCGGCCTGGTCTGTGTGAACGGACCCTAAGAAGGGTTGTTAACTTACCTAATAGTTGTCGCATCTTTCTATCAGCTGGGCTCTGAACGATAATCTAAAACAAACAATATACATTAGTAATAATATCACTTAAGAAAATTCATCACGAGGTAAATACAAAAACTTTAAAATTTTCGCGTTTATAATATTAGTCAGAAGTAAGATTTGCTGTTTTCCTATTTTCAAGATCGCTAAGAATAGTCAATATAGATTTCTTATTTATATATAAATTGCTATATCAATTATAACTTAACAATTTTATTGGGAAACTGTTTAATTCTACTAGTCCATCGTTTTTTGCGTTTGTTGTCTGGCACATTTTGAATTTATGACATCACGGTTAAAGTTGTCAAGAACAAACACACAAACGTAATGTCATCGGCATATACCTAAAATCCGATATTGTTTACCTTTGAAACCGGCTTTGAGAGAACAAATATGTTAAACAAGTAGCCACAGAAAACCTTCAAAACGTATTGTTTAAAAATATTTTAGATTTTAGGCACTAAAAAAAAATTGATGAAAAGTTAACTTTCTAAATAAAAAAATAAACTTAAAAATAAATAGGCCACTTTAAACCGCTTTAATGCGACCTACATACCATAATGTCATTGACCGGCACAAATACTTACGTGCTACTGGCAGCTAGCAAAACAAACACAGAATTAAAAAGTTACACTATATTTTTTTTAAAGGCAGAGTCGGTAAGCGTGCAGCCTGCGCTACGCCGTGCTCGATCGAGAGTGACGTGCGCGGAAGCAGAGATGGCGCGTTTTATATCTAGATATTTAACAGTTAAGTTTGAATGGGCTATGGTGGGTATAGAAGGAACAACTTTTATCTATTGTTTATTTTTACAATTTGTTAATTACAAAATTTAATAATATTGAATAACTGTAGATGGGAATGTATAAATTAATCAATATGTGCGTCTTGCTATAAAAATAATTTTGTATGAGACAAATACCGAAAAAAACATTAGATGCGTATCGCCATGTATCGTGATGTTAATATATTTAGTCATAATAAATAATTTCTCGAGTATTGTATTTGATAATATTTCAAAAATTTAAAAAAAGTCTTGTCTAGAAGTTCTTAATACTTCTTAATCTATCAATAACAATCGAAAAATCTTATAAAATGCGAAAATTCAAGATTCATAAAAATAATGTCCTGAAAACATACTAACATAGAAGTTTCATTATCAAAACACGATTTACAATTATAATAAATAAAATGGCAAATAAATCAAAAATTTTTGGAACTAAACTTTAGACCTAACTGTGTGTTTATATTTATACATATTGTTGTCTCTGTTTTTTCAAAGAGAATAAAAGGAAAGGCAATATGTATTTACTATGTCATTGTCAGAGTTGCAGGGTTTGGTATAGTGTCAGATTCTTGTCTTTTTGTTTTATAAGTTAAATTAGAAAGATATCGCAATCGTTAAGAACTAACATACATAAAGTATGGAGTAGCTGTCGTGTCTAATTAATTTAAAACGTGAATATAATGAATATTCATGTTTAAAATAATTATTCAAATTAGTAATTCATACTGTCCTTGTTCATCTTTGGTTTAATTATCATAGATGCAATGTAAACACAATTATTGCATGTAATATATTTTTAATAAACTTCGGCTCATATCTTGTGTGTAAAAATATTATAAAAAAAATTACCTAATTTCAAAATACGTATAGCTTAACCATTCAGGCTCCTAACATAGAATTCTAATCCAATTTCCCATCTTGTTCCTTTCAATAACGATCCAATGGCGCTGTGAGCAATATAAGTCAAGACTGGTCCAAGCTTGTCAGGTAGCCCGACAAGTAACCCTGTCCGGTCCTTAAATAGGTCCTATCGGTCCATTCGTCTCGTTCCAGACCAACTATTTATGTACGGTCCAAAGAAAATAAAAGACGATATAAAAGATAATTAGCCTACAATATTGAACGTGAGATAACGCTATACGTAAAAGTCACGCAATATACAACCAAGTTCGTAGGAATGGTTAACATCAATGTAATATACGAACCATGAGATTCTGAGACCAAAATCTTCGAATCTGTTTAAAACATATCGCTATCCTTGTCATTATCTTTAACAAAACAGAGATAACAATATGTTTTTAACGGAGATTTTGGTTTTAGAAACACACCGTAACTCAAGTAATTTCAAAGATTTTTTTCATATAGATCATAGTAATCTGATATTTAGTGACCGCTAAAGTTTGGTATTTGCTAATGAGTTGTAATTGGAACTCTAAAATAAATCTCTTAACTTTTCATATCCTTAAAAGTCAAATTGTTGGGAAGACGATTAACATAATGGAAGAGACAACGAAAAGTGCATTCCAATTAAATTGGATTTTAGTAAATTGTGTCATTTTTATTTATTTCATTTTTTTTTTCTTTTAAATACGAATAAAGTATAATAATGGCTATGTTTATATAAGGGAACGATAACATAGTATGTTGCTATGTCGATTGCTACAGTTCCCACAGAAAATAAATGTTTTATATTATTATATTGCCCTATTGTAGGTAATAGTAAAACTAAACAAATTATTATTTACTATAATAAGAGTTTTTCATTTATTCCATCAATTATAACTGTATATACAGTATTGTAGAAAAATAAATTTCTCCCAAAAAAATATTTCTTCGTATTGCAATATCATGGGATCTATTTTATAGAAGTATGCAAAAAAAAATTAACAAAGCAACTGTCTTGTTCCCTTCTTAAGCTTGTATTTAAAATTAATATGTTGATCATCATCATCATCAGCATACGTCCCCACCGAGAGGCTTGGAGCCTACCCTAAGTTAAGGATGATTAGGCCATAGTTAACCACGCTGGTCAAGTGCGGGTTAATACGTTGATAATCTACTCAAATATCAATTTTTAAAATGATAAACTAAGAAGAGATCGTGTTCTTTTACCTGTTTATTGAATACTAGCGGTTGGGCGACCTCGTCAGCGCAGAATTTGTAGAAAAAATGCAGCTTATAATATTCCCGCGTCCATTAGGTACGTCCCCTTCTAAGACCCGTTAAAATCGGTCCGGTCCACCCGTTCCGCAGATAACACGGACCAAACGCATCGTACTATCGCAGAGAAACTATTTTCTATACATCATTTGTATGAAATACTACATATGAAATACAGACAATCCAATTTTATTTATATGTGTAGATGTCTAGATTTCGGCTACAATGATGTAGATTTTATCACATATTGTCATCCCTTATACTCTCTTTAAAATAAATAGAGACAACAACATCTACCTATAGAAATGTCAAAGCAGTCAAAACTCGTAGTTATAAATATCGGAACTGGTACAGAAATCGACATCCTATAAGCCTTAGCACACTTAAGGCCCGTTTCGCTGGACAACAATATTAATTTCTTTCTTAAAGAAAGTAAAATGTCCTGTTTATCTTTGTTCGCGACTTGTTTATTGGTCGAGGCGTTTCCACAACAATAAAATTGATTATCGGAACAAGATTGTAAAGTAGGGTGACAATAATTTTCTTTTCTGTATATCTGTATTTCTCTATATTACACAAAAACGTTCAAAGCACTTTAATGTATCTTAATGTCATTACCATTATTCATACCATATAAGTATTTATTTGCAATAAAACCTTGCTAAATATTTATTATACAGGGTGTCCCAAAAGGTTACGTACATAGGAAGGGGGATGATAGGGGTGGTCACAAGGGTCACCAGAAAAATTAAAAAAAAAATTCCCTCTGGGTATTAAAAAAAATAAAAGGGCATTTTTTAAAAACTTAATTTTCTTTAAAATCTTTGTTAGTTGTATTGTTTTTAAATTAGGAATATAAATAATATAGGAAAAAACAGGATATTTAAATAATGTAAATTTATGAAATATACAAGTTCTGCCTTAAACTATTAACGATTTTGTAAGATAATTTAAATTAAATTCAAAAAATCATCAGGGCTGGCCACCCTATTGGGAATGGCGCCGTCTCAAACTGGCTTTCAGTCGCATCTTTCTGATTTCACCGGCTGATAGCCCACTTATAAAGTTCTGGTTTATACTTGTCCTCGAAACTTAATAATATAAAATTAACATTTACTTTCCACTATATGTCGCCTGCGACTGTCGCGTTCAATTGTATCAACATCTTCGTTAAAGTACAAAAACTCAATGTCAATGAAAAAATACATGTACCGAAATGTCTTTGATGTTCTTCAAGTTACCGACAATCGGCAGCAAGAAGCGTGCATTGAATTTTAAGATAAATTCTATGTATCGCACTTTTTCTGCGAAATAAATTTTTATACGACAAGCTAAATGTAAAGGTTGAACAAGCCTTTACTTTTTAAATTCTGGCACAAAAATACACTGTTACGACCTAAATTACTTCTTGGTCCTTGTTATGGAAGGTTTTTGGAGAAAGTTGTATTAAATCCTTCTGCATAGTATAGTCCTATTTGAGTTTATAATGACTATTTTAATCTCAAGGTCAGTTACCTTTGAAAATTAGCAGAAAAACAGAACTCATCAAAAGTATACAAAAATTAAAAACAACGCGTACAACGATTTATTTATTTATTATTATTATAACTACAGCTGAGTATTTTTGCAGATACACCTTAAATTAACCAAAAAATCGTCTTATGAAGTTTTTCGGCATGTATTTTCTTTCCGAAGATGCCACTGAAAAAAAACAGATTTATCTCAGAATTGCTAAGCTTAAGTGTTCATATATAGTAAATTTAAGGTCTTTTTCCATATTTAAATTGAAAACATTTACCGTTACGACTCAATGCCACGCATTTTTGCAACACATTTTCCTTCATCTCTCAATATTCGTTGAAAAATTCAATAAATTCGAACCTCATATTATACGTAAAGGTTAACATTAAGGTGAATATGCAATCCTGTGTAAAAACAATATTGCATCCCACTCATTCCCTTGGAAACAAAGAGATATCAAAGATACATACCATTTTTAGGAACAATCGGAGTATCAGTTATATTCGGTGTTACAGGTTTAGGTTCAACATAAGGAGTCGGTTCCTCGACTTTTCCCTCGAACAGCACCAAGCCTAATTTATTATCCCTTATAAAGAAGAGGAATGGGCGGTCAACACGAATTTGGACACCGTTTTCTATAAGTGGTATGACCATAGCGGAGGAAGCTGCAGCCGCGACCGTACCCGTTTCGTCAACGGCTATATGCACTTTGTGGAATATGTTGTTAACTAACGCCGAACTGTTAAACATGCTCGAGAGATCCGCTTTGTTGGTGAACAGTAATTTGATCTTCATCTGAAATGGATTGTAAAAATATTTTTTAAAGACTTCGATAGGTTAATAGGGTTAGTTGTGAAGCGATGTGCTTTATAAACTTCTGAATAAGGTTAGTTAAGCTTTCTATTGGAGAGATTTTTTAATATCGGTTTAGCTCAAGCCATTTACAAGAACCCCTATAATAAACAGGATCACTAACCGCTCTTAGAGCTCCAGCCATGTCATCGGTGTAGTCTATAGTAAACTTGGGCATTTGTAATCGGACGTCCGTCTCCTCCATAAGGCTGGCAATCTGTGGCAGACTGAAGTATGGTAGATCTCTGAGCAGCTGGGATACACCGTCTTGTTCATGTGGCACCAGCAGGATCATTGAATAACGACCATTCTGGAATTTATTCACGAATTCGATTAAAATGTTATCTCGATTTCTTTCTTGGTTCCGCAGAAACGCCTGTGTAAAATATATTGTTATCTCTTTTGTTTTTAAGGTGTATAAAAGAGTTCACAATATGCTTTCGTACAAGTTTTTGGGTAGTGGAAACTTAATTTCCCGTTTAGTAAACGGGACTTCATTTTCCCCTTGAATCGGGCTAATGATTTTTTGTAATCAATTACAAATGTTCTTTACTATGATAAAGAATGGTAGTATATTATTATAATACGAAATGGACCCAGTTCCAATTTTGGACAAACAACAAAAAGTTAATTCAAAGGTAACGGTAATTAAGTAATGGTAACGAAGAAATATATTTTTCTTTGAAATCGAACCTGAACACATAAAAACAATCCTATCGATTCAATGCAACCGCAACATCCAATTATAAATAATAATATACGTAAAACAGGAAAACCTTGAAGGAAACTGAGATGAAACTTGTTTAGAAACTAACCAATGGTCATAGTTTCATTGTACTTGTATATTAGGCGTAGCTTACAAATAACGATATTATGTTGAAAGATGATTAAAGTATTAGCGAAATAAAAAAATCGTGTCTTTTATTGGGCAGTTTAGGAAGGAACATCATAATTCTTCTACAAAGACGTAGGTACTAAGATTCGAAAAAACCTGATAATTACGCATTTTTGATGAAAAAAAAATGCTGATATGGGAATGTCTATAAAATATTATTTTCGTTCTACATTAATCGTTAACTTGTAGATATTTTTTTATTAAATTAAAGATAATGGTTTATTCCATATAAATATATTTCAACACGTTTTGTCTTATTAAAACTGGTTTCTTTCTTAATAAAGATATCTTTCGATTACAAAACCGGTATTAGCAAAAAATATGTTATTTACCGAAATCAATCTCAACGTAACGTAATTGCTATAATATTTTTTTCTAACATATATAGAAATTCTTGCTTTTAACTATATTATTATATAGGCAGACGGGCGGTTTAATTTACCATTTGGCACGGTTCATGCACATCTCATTTTTAAGCACCTATTTCCTCTTAGCTAGACTAGCCTCGCGCGACTTCACGATACGTGGAAAAAAGCACTATCTACTATACAATATCCACTTTAAATAACTGTCTAGTTTATCACTAATCTAACCGATTAAATATATTTATGGATATGTAATAACATTAAGTTAAAAAGTAACAAAAATATACGCCTTACTAGAAATTATAATTACTTAATCTAACTTAAATTATGTTTACTAACATCAGAGTTTGTACAACATTGTTAACAAGTTGCTTTACAAAAAAACAAGTCAATAGTCTCTGTTCTTGTTAAAAGGTTCTTTTATATGACAATGAAATGGACGTGAAATTACAGATACGTTGTATGACGTGACAATGACATCGATCCACAAGGTAACCAAGTGCTGATGAACGCGACAAAGTAAAACGAGAAGACGACGACATCACAAACCACACAAGTGTCATGTTATTCTGGACTCATAGTACGTTTTGTTTTCGTGTTAAATTTCCTAATAGACGGTCTTTATGACCCAGCACTCAAACAGCGACATCAACGTTTGATTTTTATATGTAAATTAAAAACTAAATCCACAAAATATACGTCATGCAAATTTACATGTTTTTATTGCGTATGCGAAAAAAACCCTGCGTTGAAAGTTTCTACGGGACATAACCTGTTCCGTATTATATTATTATTTTCCTCTTAAAGCTTTTGTTAATATTCGTGACAATTTATTCAAACAAAACATATTTATTTATATAATCAAGGTTATGTAAATACATTTAATCTGCATTGAAATTGTCTAAAAAATTATAAATATTAAGCATTCCTCATATTCTTTCTTTAAAACTATTAAGTTTCAAAAATGTTTAGATCGAACCACCTTCTTATGTCTTTTTTATGGGTATGAGTTTGTACTACGAATGTACTACAAAAAATATCCCAAGTAATCAATAATATAAGTAATTTTGCAGGAATACGTACCTCATAAGGCAATTCAAGGGCATGAGCTCTCAAATCGTCCACATACGCGTAGTTAAGTCCTGCCTGGAGTTCCATCATGGCGACATTATGACAGTTGCCACGGCTTCGGAAACAAGCGCTCCGCGTCAGCTGAGGATTGAACGAATGCTGCCAATTGCTCTTGAAATATAACGAATTGGCTAACATCAACTCTGACATGGGATCGATGTGCTCTGAAAATTACAACGCGAGCTTTTAAGTTTCGGACTTGGTAGGCCTTTCTTCTTCCAGGATTCTTTAATTTTGTTTTTTCAGAATCTTGTCTCTTTCAGATCTGTGTAAATTTGAGCGTAAGATTCTTGTGCAGAAACAAATTATATTTTATCGATAGGTTGATAATACGAGGGAAAACCCTTCTTTCCATTTAAATGGTCACAAATTAATAACTAGGATTAAAAATAAGATCCCTATTTTAATTAAATTAATCGAACTTACCAGGCTCCAATAAAGTGTTGATAAGTCCTTTAGTATTCTTACTGATCCAAGCATTTATAAGATCAGCAGTAGGCACAGGCTCACGGAAATTAACAACCTGAACTTCGGTCAAATATACATTATACAGCATTATTATAAATTCCTTTTTTACACTCACTCTAGGTGCTACAAATATGGCATTCGAATTTAGTAGAGTTACATCAGAATCATTTACCTGCAAAGGATTAAAGTTTTAATAATAATTAGCTTTTGGCCAGCGACTCTGTCCTCGCGGAATTAAGAAAAAAGGAATTGGAATTCCAAGCTACATCCCCTCCAATTTTCAGCCAAATCGGTTCAGCCGTTCTCGAGTTATAATTTTCATAGATATTAATGTCATTCGCTTTTATGTCAAGCTAGGCTTAGCTCTGAGTACTTTCGCATAAACTATTAGAAAACCCAACCTCAAGCTTTTCAAGGCATGACTTGAATCGGAAATCTAATCGTAAAATTGAACTGTTAAAATCATGGAACCTTTACTTATGTGTTAAGATTATGTTAAAATTGTTAGAAAAATAGACTTCAAAAAGGAGTTTATTGATTAGTCTGTATGTTCTTTTTTTGGTTTTATATTGATAAACGCCTTACCTTAAGCACTGAAAGGTAAGCATTCAATTGTTCCCTAAATTCATCTTTATCGGGGGATAGCCTTAAAGCATTTCTTATTTCAATTGCTGTATCCCCCGCCGCTCCTTCCAATAACATTGCCAAAACGGATTTAATACTGGCAGGTGACACAACCACATTGCCTATTTTATCTTCTGCGGCGTATTGAAGAAGATCAGTGTCAAAGAAATTGAAGCGAGATATTTGCGGTTTGCCGCCAGTAAGACATTCTAAACTTTGAAAACAAGTCAACGATAAAACTGGAATAAAAAATATTATTCATATTATTAGACCATCACCTAATACATAGAAAGTATATCATACTTAATAGTTAACACTTTTAAAACAACCGTCTCGTGTATCGATTTCATACGAAAAAATCGTAATAGTACTGAACGTGCCAAAAATAACTAAATTACCTAATTTAGTACGGTTATACGCATCTCAGAGTACCTACTCTGAGCTGCGTATAACCATAACTAAATCTACACCATAAGGCCTCTAGTACCTTGTAATCAAAGTTAAATTTATAGATTCTACTTTTGTCATAATTTTAATGTTTGGAACAGAAAAGCTTAGACTAAGTTATCGAAGTACGGAGCTCTCAAACACTATCTTTAGTTTTAGTAGTTTGAATATAAGTAACATTTAAGTTAAAGTCATCATAATTGATGAATTTTATTATAAAGTAGCATTTTGTAATGAGATACATGCATTCTATATTCTTTGTGGTTTTTCTTTCTTATATAAAAAAAACCCATGAAACCGGTTCAGTGACTTAAAGTTACAATAAAAATAAATCACTTCTTGATAACATTAGTCTGAGTAACTTATGTTATACGAAATTCTTTTTATTATTATCATTCAAAATTATAAGATTCAAGTCGAATTATAAATAATTTGTCTAATAAAAAAATGTATTTCAACTAACCATGAAAATGTTTTAGGCTGTTTAGCATTGTTTGTAATAGTATAAAAACTTACAAATATAATATAATTAAAAAGAATGCTATAAAGTATAATAATTTTTGCTTTACAATATGTATAATATCAAAGGCAAATGCACAAGAAACAAAGGTCATAATAACCTCTCAAGGTTAAATATTTCGTACTCACCAATAAAAATGAAAATCATTTTGACTAGATTGAGGCAGATTGAATTAATATTTTAAAATTCATTTAAATATGGAACAAAACGTCACAATGACACAGGCGTGTTCCACGACAACTTGCTGACGAATGAAATTACGTTTACGGATATTTTACTTAATAGCTGTTTGTAGCAACCGTTAACGTTTTTTTTTTAATTTTAAAATACAAAAACTCAAGTGTAAAAACCAAGCTAAAAATAATTGATTTTATATCATATAGGTTATATGAGAACTGAAGGTTACATGAACATTTTAGTTGCAAGTACATTTTTCAAGATACTGTACATAAGCTACTGTAAATACTATAATTTGTATTTCTTAATCTTAAATAATAATAATAATTCATCGTTATTTCAGCACATAGATCTAATAATATTTTCAACTGAAATACGATCTAAATTTAAAAGTGACGCCACACGTATTAAATAAAAACGTTGCTGCTTATTTTCCCAACTGACAGGACGGTATGTATCGCTAACATTAAGTTCGGTAACTCTAACTCCGGCTTCTCATTATGTCATCCAAACCAAGCTCTTTGTTATTTTGCTTATTACCAGCTATCGCCCGCGACTCCGTCTGCACGGCTCCGTTCCGTAGATACCTTCAGACAAACAGCCATCCATCCCTTCACCCAAACATTCGCATTTATAATATTAAGTAAGATATTAACATAGACTAAAAGACTAAATGTTCTGGACAGTTTTTAACTTGGACATCCTTCAACCCTTTTTTTAATTTGATGTATGCAAAACTTGAACTTGAACTCCCGAATTCGAAGTCTTGGCTTTAAATTAGCTATTCGAAGTACATTTATTATATATCTCCCTTTTCACAATCTTCTAACTTAATACGGCTATTAAAAATTAATAGTCGGCACAATACGTCTACTTCAATATTTTTACGCTTCTTTTTAACCGTAATCAAAGTAGCTGCTTTCTTACGCTTAGTTCCACTCAATTCATCCATCTTTTCTTTACCTATATAAATGAAATACGTTTTAAAAATATCAGTTTATTGTTGGTAAAAAAATAAGATTCGGTTTCAAACATGAGGAATATTACATTACTTATTTTATTATGAGGATAAAGTCTATTTGAATGCTATAACTATTCATTGCTATGGAAGTAAGAATTGTTATTAAAATTTGAGAGCACTGTCGGCGTTGCTTGGGTCAGAGACTCGTCCTGTGAACAGCAATTGCCTGGTCTCCTCGTCTTGTATGAAGAACATGAACGGTCTGTTTGCAACCAATTCATAGAAGGATTCCTCTTCGCCAAATTTGTTTTCTAGAGTGATTTCTACAAACAAAAAAATGTTTACGTTAGAAAATTTGCATTTAAACGATCTTATTGCTATTGTTTTTATTTACGTGTTGAATGTACTGCTATATTACTTAAAAAAATAGGTGGTAAGAAAGCTGTTCAACAAACAGAGAGGAGGAGGTAAGAAAAGCACTTAGCTTACCGTTCCACAACTCTGAGTGCGATAGTAAGTCTTAAATGTTTTAGCATACCAGTAGCGGAGTAAGCCGTGCTGCCCAGTTCATTGACCTCTATCCCGGAGCACTGCAACACCTTGGAAACCTTTATCCGCTCGAGCTGGCCGTGCGCGATGCCGGGGAAGGACGCGGTGTCTTCGAATGCTTGACGAATACCCAACTGTCAGGAGAAAAGAGAGTTATTTTTTTACGGGTATAAATGTAATTTAGTTCCATTGTGACCTTAAAGTTATATTCAAAGTTAGCATTTGAATGTCATAGCATAGAAATAATTGCTTGTTAATTGCAGTGAACAAACTCTTATTCAATTGTTCTGGAACAAGTCTAGTAAGCATAGAGAGAAACGGTATCTCTAAAATTTTAGTGTAAAAAGTGTTACCTTTCTAACTTTATGTTGTTAAATTACCTCTTTTAGTATGCCGTCTAAGATTGATGTGTAATCGAATTTGAACTTCGGCAGGGAGACGTCGACGAGATGTCGCTGCAAACGGTACAGTTCAGCGCGCAGTTCGCTTAAGCTATTGTAGACTCGCGGCAAACCAGTCAACGTGTTAGGCACCACGATGTACATTGCGAACTTTTTACCCTGAAAACAAAAGAAGGATAGAATTTCACCTTCTTAAAGGACAAATTCAAAGCTGATCTCTGAATTTTTAACTCTTTTGGAGAATTTATCGCCTTAACTTAGAGAAACGTAATTTTTTTATGGATTCTCGAAGAAAATTATTTACCAAGTACGGCATTCTGAGAATCTTAGCGTCGAACTTCGCAGACTCCGTGAAGTAGAACTTGTTTCTAACGTTCATGAACTCGAGCGGTTTAGTGTCCTTTGCCGTGACATAGAAGTTATGAGTTGTGGTCTCATTGGGAGTGAACTGATGGACCCATGTACCCTTGAAGTACAGCGTGGTGAGTACCAACAACGCTACATTTGCTACATCATCTGTGAACAAATCCTAATATTAAATGACATTAAAATCAATGACTTTCAACGATATAATTTAATTAACGAAAGTATGATTTAACTATTGAATGTTTTCGCCCGAGACACTTACGATATGTACGAGTACATACGTGATATCATACACAAACTATAGTTGCAGCAAACTATGAGTATTAAATTCATACAGACCTGAATTAACTAGATTTGGTAAACGTCCTTGTGTGGTATTAGCGACCCAGGAGTTGATAGAACTGGCCGCCTCAACTGGTTTGGTGAAGTCAATCTTGACCAGCTCAGTTTTATAGTAATTCTCAGCAATAGCAGCGAATCTTTGACGCGGTTCACCATTTTCACCAATGTATATTCTACTTCCCATATTTAGTATATACTTAGAAGATTTCGTCTGTGAAAAACAAGGAAACGAACTATTAGACATGTCTGTACCATTTTTTTATTATCACAATCCGGGAAAATATGAGTTGAATGCCATCTCAGTTTTCGAAACACCACGAGCGGAAAAACATAGATGGAAACAATTCAAGAGGAATTATCCTGTTTTGTTTGGTAGGTAAGACCTTTAGTCATAACTTTTGTTTGTTCAAATTACATAGAATTTAGTTCTTCGCTTTAAAAATATGTATCATCTTCATACATATATATAATAAAAGCAAAAATTGACCTGATAGCCGTTTACATAATTATTACTAGTATTGATAATTGATGAGAGAAACCTGTTTGTCTGAATAGATCGCATAATAATCGAAAGACGTCAATCTTGTCTTTTTTTTCTTAACTTCAACAATTTAAATTAAACATTCACAAAAACGTACAGTGTTAAGAAGACTTTATACTTTATGAGATTTCTTAACTATCTTACCGTGGGTTTTTGAGACCAAAATCCCCGTTTTAAAACATGTTTTTAACTCTATTTTGTCAAAGATAACGACAGGGATGACGATATGTTTAACAGAGGTGTTCTCAGGTCTCAGGAAGCAACGGTTAAATAAAATAAAAAGTTTATTATCATTATTTTAAGTTAACGGAGGTTAAGTAAGACATCAATCAAAATAAAGTATTGATGGACAAAATAAGGGAGGGAATTATTTACCTGCAGCGAATCCAATATGCTAGCAAATTTCTTCCTCACTAGAGCCTTGTCGAGGTCAAAACCCAGAACCGAAGCTAGCTCCGCTTGCGTACTTCCGGTAGCCGCCTCAGTCAAAATGGCCAAAGCTAGCTTCAAGCCCAGCGGTGATAGAAGGAAATTATTATCTGCTGATGCAGCAACACGCTGGAAACATAAAATAAAGAGATTTCAGCTTGTAAAATACAACAATAAGTAATGGTGGGCTTTTAGTTTAAAGATTCCTCGCAGGAAGAACCTGGAGTGGTTCGGTGTGCTTGTAAAATGAATTTATATTAACCCACATTACTGTCGACTCTTTTCGAAACGTGCATTTCATTTTTACGAAAAAAACCGAGCATCGCAAAATAATCTCGTCCGCTCTTACTTGAAGACCTGAATTAGTTCTAGGACCTTTTAACACTGGACGTGCGGTAACTACTTAGGATAATCCCTATTCTTTATAGTTATAATAAAATGTATGTCTATTACCTTAGTAAGAGTCCAATCGAATCTATCGAAGTCAGCCGGTGCAGGATTATAGTTGTCCGTGGTATCCGAATAGTCGGTGTCTTGTAGCGTGTTGTTGTAAGGAGATAACGCCGGGACTTGTCCTGCCTGGGTTGCAGGTGGATGTGTTCCATCGCCGAATATCTCTTGTATGATATCCGATGTCAAATATGTCTGGCATATCGCATGCTGTGTAAATATCGCTGGAAAGAAAAAATATTCTATATAACATTTTGTAATAATAAGACATTCATAGTAATTGGTTTTTAGTTTTTGTATTTTTGATATCATTGCATTATTTTTATAGTCTATTTCGGTCTCATCACATGCGGACTTCCGTTTCCGTTTAATAAAATGTTGAAATGCTCTTTTCAAATATCGTGGTGGCCCAAGGTCATCGTCGCACTGCGCAGTGCTGCCGCCTTCGCATCCCGCTAAATAGTGTTCTGCGCATCGACTCGTGCAAAGTTGATAGCCGCCAAGATATCAGAAAAATACTGTACCAAGTTTAGATGTAATAAAAATATTTACTTTTATCTATTCAAGTTATTTAACCTTAAAACCTGTTATTTAAAAATTAGTATTTTATTCACCACGTCATAAAAACGGAAATTATTTACAATAATAATATTAAAGAGCTGTCGTAAGAACAAAGTTGTTTTTTTTATTAAGTAGAATTTATACTGACGTTATACGATCTGGTTTTCCTTAACGTGGGATTTGCCTAAATGGAAGTTCTCGCCTCATGATAATGCGGGCGCAATACTGACCTGGCTCTAAGTTTTTTAATATAACAATTGGGAAAAGACTATGTTTGCAACATTGCAGTATTTACTAAATTCTTCCTAAGTGTCAAATTAAAACCAATAATTTAATCATAAAAATATTAGTTCGCTAAAAAAAAACTTATATGTAGAAAGTATTCCTTGCTATAAAATTAATAAAGAGCTGAACGTATGCAAAAAATATGGGATCACTAATTACCAAACAAAACAAACGATGTTTTGCGGGCGGACAGACAAAAATGGTTTTTCGTTATCAGCACCACAAATGTATTATGTGTATGGAATATGTTTTTTTTTTCAATATTATATACATGTACTCCAATTTTGTTATAATTTAACTATAGTTGCGCAAGTTTAAATGAATGATGATGGATGGATATTTGTTAAATCAACACCAAAACGACTCAACGAGTGTGGATGAAATTTGGCAGAGAGATAGGCTACTCAATGCATCGGCTACTAAGTATTTTTTTCTTATTCCGTGCAGACGAAGTCAGCGGCAAGAGCTAGTAATAAAAGCCACAGTAAAATACACGACACATCTCTTATCTGTGTACTTATTGTGCGGGTTTTCCCGAGGGCAAAGACCAGGAGATTATTGTTTTAATTTATAATTATACATATGAATGAACTTTTAATATACTTCTCGATTAAATAATTGATAAATTTGAATAAAAATTGAAGTAGGCAAATGAAATAAATACGAAGTCTACTAAAGTCTAACGAGATGAATTAATTTTGTAAGCATAATACGGCAACAATTAAATTACAGTTCACCCACTGAGGAGCTTCGAGCCTACCCTCAATGAGGGGTGATTAGGCCATAGTCAATCACGCTAGCACACTGCAGGTTGGTTGACACCAGACATATATTTGAATTTCTTCAGCGTAAGAACGTCGAATAAGTGTACTCGTACATATGTAAATCGAAAATCCTAAAACACAATGGTACATGATGGGCTACGAACCCACGACCTGCGGATTACAAATCAAGTACTGAACCCTTGAGCCACCGACGTTCAGTAGTAGCTTTGTTGCTGGTTGCAAAAACATTTGAATGTGGGGATTTTAGCGGTTAGCAGATTCGTCATACGGCAAGCAAGATCTCTGTTATTGGGTATACATAGTACTACGAATAGTATATTTGCGATTATATGACGTAAGCAATATTCTCAACCTTAAGGGTAATGTACGATTAGTCATACAATGTCACAATAACGCGTTACTTCACACGATAACGCGAAAATAATACAGAATAATTACACAGTGTAAAGTCTGTAAAGTCTGTAAAGTTTTATCCTGTGACGTCATGAAAGAAAACATTATGTCTATTAACTGACTGACGCTTGCGACTCCGTCCGCATGTAATTAAAAAAACCTAATCAGTTGCCTGTTTGTTCTTCCAGGTATGTTCTATACCTCTCAGCGAGATTCATGCAGTCGTTCTGGAGATACCTTCAGTAAATAAGACATAGTATGTAATGTGTTAGATATTGTATGGCACAGTAATATTTCAAAATGGCCACGCCTAAAGTGGTAAGTTCCGGGCAGCAAGAGGGATAAGGTAGTGTAGACAAAAAGTATTCATAATTAAACATTATTTGCCATTTAACTTAGTGTGATTAGCTATTGCCAAACGTCTGAGCGAAACATGATTTAAAGATAAAAAACACACTAGGGCTTCCCCTATATTAATAATTCAGCTGATTTCATACATGATAATTATTTTTGGATACCAGAAATACTGTAAATCCATGAAATAAACAATGTTTATCGTATTTACCGTGGCTTTTTGAGATTAAAATACCCGTTTAAAAATATTGTTGCCTCTGTTTTTTCAAAGATAATGAAGGGGATGACGATATGTCTTACATAGAGATTTTGGCCTCAGAAACCCTCGGTTAGACAAACCCAATATTTGATGAGCAAATTCATTTTATGTTGGGAATTCCGAAATGTATTTACTACTAGCATTCGCCGGCGACTTCTGCGCAGAATTTAAAAAAGGATAGTTCATGTAGCAAATAGAACAAACAAACAATAATACCTTAATATCTTAAACTATTTTCGATAAATTTCCTCTACGTAGTATCGTTCTGCGCAACCTTTAATTGACCTCACGATAGTCGATATATTAATGTATATTTTATTAAGAATATACAGAAGATAACAAAAAGTCTATCTGAATTTCTGATTATAATTTAATGATTTTAACAATAATAATTTCATTATTTGATTAATCTATCTAGTTCATATATTTTTAATTTAAAAGTCTTTAGCATATCTACTTAGATTCACCATCCGTCTATGATCTATGGATACCTAGACAGATAAGACTTTTTGACATCTATTTTTGGTGATTAATTCTTCGTTTTCATTTGTTTCTTCTTTTAGTGTGAGTTTCCATTGCCAAAACAACCTTACAATAATGCATTTAATTCTTTCATATTACAATATCAATTCTATTTATATACAATAACTACTCGTCTCTCCTAAAACTATTACCACAAAGTTCCGCATACCTTTTTGGATTCTCTATACAAGAAGCCGTTTAAAGAAGTGTCATATAGAATACTGGCAGGATACAAAGTTGCTGTTTATCTTCTATCTCTATCAATTTACAATAAGTAATAGGTTAACCTAGAGCTCTAGGTCATTTTCCAGTCTACAATACAATAAATATTAATCAGTTTCTATCCGTATATAAAATATCATTTACATGAGTGATTCTTCTCACAATAGGCACCAAACTCACTAATATTTCTCGCGTGATTAGATGGTTTGTGTTTTAAACCAGTCAAACTAGTTCGTCACGTCATTCTTCGTAGCTTTTGCCTCAATGCAATGTAGTACTTAAATTATTTATTAGTTTTAAAATAAAACTGTTATAGTATTATCTTTTTTTTATAAAAGTAGGCAGTAAACGAACAGCGAGAATACTGAGGTAATCGTCGATATAAATCCGCAATATCAGAAGAACAGCAGATGCGTTGCCGGCTTTTTAATAAAGTAACGCTGACTTGATTAATACTACAATAACAAATGAACCCTAATCATCGTTATTTTCTTATCTAAGGTAACATTTTGGTATGCTTATGCGTCATCAATTTATTTTTGTACTCTAGTAACAAGGATCAAATCAAAATAATCTTGGGATTCCCGACTCGTAGAGACTTTCCGCTAGATGATATCATACAGTTCCTCCTCCTTGATACCTTTTCTTTAATACCTTCTCCTTAAATATTTTTAAAACCTTGTTATTAAAAACACAAGTATATTTCGAATGAAATCAAAGCTTTAAGTGAATATGCAAAAAGTAGTAAAACGGGTTACTCTTCAAATATCCTGTTCATATATAATACCAAAAGGCACAATGTCCTAAGAATGACTTGCAAATGGACACTTAAGGATATCAAATTAGGAATTAGTTTTCGTTATGACTGTCACAATTTAGCTTCTTAAAATAATCTCATTTTAATTTTGATTTATATACCAAAGAACTTCGCGTAGAGTGGGATAAATAAATAAATTTATTGCGGCCCATAACAAGCAATTCATGAGAATAAGAAACAATGAGGAAAGTAACATGAATAAATAATTATTATGTTAATTCCCACGCATTAGATTGGTTAAGCTTAAGCTTTTAAAAAAAAATAGTAATTTAATTTCTGAAGTATATAAAATTCAAAGTAGTTTGCAATTGGTCGTAGAATACATAAATGGGAGTGCTTTCATAAATTAAAAAAATATCGATAATTCAACTATAAATTGCAATATATAATTCTTTCTCTTACATAATTAATGTTATTACTTTAAAAAAAATGAAATAAAACTCACCTAAAAAAAGCAAGAAACAAAAATTCAAACTCATCTTGCAAACACAAAACAAGGAAAAACCTACGATTGAAAAAAAACCCGCTCTCAAGGTGCCACTAACCGATGAATTGTTTTATTTAACCGATACAATCAGTATATATAAAGAATGTTTATTATTTTAATCACTAACGTCTATTTATATAATGTTTAACACTTTTTTTATCATATCCACATTTTTCTACATAAAAACGACTGCACCTCTCAGAGACCTGAACTGTACTGATGTGCTTACTTAAATTATGCTCTTGAACAGTAATATGTCGTCATAACCTGTTAACAATAATACAATGTTGTCGTTATTAAACTTGAAAATAATATTTTTCATCCATATCTTACTTCAATGTTCACACAGAAACCTAAAAATTACGTAGGAATAAATTATAATGATTAAAAATTAGAATTAAACCCGGTAAAATTCCGTACTTGATTGGCAATTTAGCGAATCGACGGCAATATTTACTTTATCAATTTCTTAAGGCCAAGCAGAGAGGCCAAGAACAAGAAAAATAAGTCATTGATAGTAATTGTCGGACATTGAACGACGTTCCATGTTTAGTAAACCTAAACGAATTGAACTTACCCACTATCGTAATAAAATGGTGTTTATTGATGGAATACATTTAAGGTTGTAACCAATGTGGGTAGGCAGAGTTGATGTCCATTTAGCACAATCGTCACACCTTTCCTGTGTCTTGTTTGTACAGTCGCTGTCGTTCGCGGTATTCCATTTACAAAAAAATTACCTAGCGTTGAACTTAAACTATGCTCCTTCATTAAACGATTAGTGTACCGATGTAAACAATTATGGTTTACCTGTATTGTACCCCTGAATATTAAATAGATTGGAAGATGATATTGTCAGAACATTTACCAACTTATGCGTAGATGTATGAATGTAGAAGCAAAAGGTGTGTATCAGTAGCACGCCAAATAGATCCATGGTCTCTGTTCCTTATGGTTACGGGTACGAGTTATTGTTGTTTATTTATATATCTACGTTTATCGCTTCAAGGCGTTCTATCGTATATCAATTTTGAGGTGGTATACCGACAACAAACCTGACTGTACTATGGTGATATTGTGACACATATTATTTAGAATTGGAACCGAGACAGTGTCATAAGTCCTCCAGTCGCCGCGACATTGCGGTTTTCCCAGACAATATAAATAAGTATGCCAAGTTATTATATATTTCAACTTAAAGAAACCTGTTTTAAGATTACGTTTATGCCACACAGCCAATATGTGTATAACTCAGTCATTGACCAGTTTATATAAAAAAAACTTAACTTAACTAAAAGATTTTTCGTCACAACTTTGAAAAAAGAAACAATACAATTAAGTTATTTAAGGCCTTTCGTACTCAAGCCGACGTACGGTTGAGTCACGAAAATAAAAAACATATTAAAAAAGTACGACGTTACAAATAAATAAGTCCTTTATTTATGTCTGATATTGTTGGAGAAATTATTAGTACATGTTTTACAATTTTTACATTACAAAAAATACATTTTTAAACATAAAAAAATAACATTTGTTAATTTTTTTAAATTTTTTAATAAACAATATACAATTTACTATTTTTTACTGTAATACTTCACTTCAGTAAAAGGTTAATTTCTAAACATATGCAATTTTTATTTTACTTAGAAAAAAAACAGATGTCAAATGCCACACATATTGAAAACTGGAAATGTAAATTAAAAAAAATACAGAAATGTTCAGAAAAATAAAAGTTTTTTTTTAGGTCAATAGTAATTTGGTAATTATTGACTAAGAATATTTAATTCGTAATCTATTAATAATTTCTTATAACAGATAATCTGGAATGTAAGGAATAATTAATTGGATATATTTAGTTTTTGTAAAGAATCGTAAATTTACAAAAATAAAATATATATTTTAGTAAAATAACAAAAATATGTATTTAACGTTTACATCTCCCACATTAGTAGTAATATTATCAAATTTATTTGGTATCCCAATACCAAAGTTAATTTAAATTATGTCCCACGAGTTTTAAAAGAATTTATTTGAAACATTCTCAATACATTATAACCTGATATTTGAACCCCATCTTTGACCTTGATGGGAATCCGATAAGCATTTTAATGCATAAGAATTTGAAAATCGAACTTTAAAAACATAATCATATTAATATATATAATTTATAACGCAGAAAAACAATAAATATGTTTGTATATTTTTTTAGTAATATTACCGTGGGAATCAACTGGTTTCTCCCCTAATGGTAATACCCTAGAGATACCCGCTTTTCTTTCAAAATAACCCAATGATATAAGTAGGCAATTAACATTAGCAAAACTCCGTATAGATAGTTTATGACAGATCGGCACGTGACTACCACGGGCCAAATTACTTTAAACTAAGTATACCAAAGTTTAAACTTGGAGACAGGATTTATTTTTATTTTATCCCTTAAAAATAAAACTATATATAATTTGTGATAGAGACAATCCAATTAGGATAAATAAATTATAGCACAGTTTTTATAAGTCTATGACTTTTATGGCGACGAAGGAAAGATTTTGACTTACAGACAAATGGCAAAATCGTATTGGATTGAATTATTCGGAAGCCATTGCAGAGAAAAATTGATAATAAATTTTATAGAAACATACTAAAAATGTATGAAATGAGATGAAAAATTATAAAAATTGAGCAAATATCAAAACTCTATAAAATTATAATATGTAATTGGTTTATACATAGCAATGGAGATTTATTACGTGAGTTAACCTTAATTTAAAAAAAAAACATTACCAATAATTATATTACCAGAAGTTATAAAGTAAAAGTGAATCCTGGATATACATAGTATCCATAAATGGATATCCGCAATGGATTCCAAACAATTCAACATTATAGCTTTTCATAAGTACACAAACGTTACGTTTTGCTCGGTCTTGTAAATGTTTCGGGAGTGTTCGTAAATAGGACGGTAAATACCCATAGATGTAGGCCAATCTGAAAACATATAAAATAAACAAATAAATACACAAAAAACTTTATTACAGATATAAAAAATAATAATAAAATGATATTAAATATTAAAAAAATGTTAATCTTGTAATAAATGTATCCAGCTAAGTAAAGAGGATTTGATTCATCCTCATTGTTTCGAATATTTAAATATAAAAATCTAAAATAACTTTTTTAAGGATACCAAGAATAGGAAGTAGACTCCTTAAATCTAATTATTCTTACTTCTATCCATATATAAATGAATTATAACTCACCATATAAAATATAATAAAGACTCTAAGTATGGGATATCGCCTGCTCATATGTCCGATACGCAGCGACATCTTGGCGAGTGTGTCTGCGGGCGAGTAGCGCGCCCGAGACTCTTGTACCACCACACTGTGCAGCTGCGCACGCGCACTCGACACCTCCGTCCTGTACTTCGTCTGTAATGTACCATCAAATGAAATTATATTTTCAAATATACAAGTAAATTTGAACATCGACACTTATACAATTACCCCCCCCCCCCTCCGTTCAATTATCCTTCCCATTCCTACCTTATAAGAAAAGAGTAGGAAGGGAAGAGAGATAATCCCTAGAATTTTGGAAATTTCAGCTGCAAAGATTCCGACTCATTTTAACCGGAAATTCTTACATAATAGAACAATTGCAGAAAAACAGACTTTTAAATGTAATATTTATGATACATGGATATTATAATATAATACTTTACCTGTAATTTATCCAACTGTATCCTGAGAGTATTATTATCCGCCAGTAACGCTTCCACTTTCCCTTGCTTTTGCACCAACAACTGAGATAAATGTTGTACCCTTTCACTATCCATTGCCGCCTGGACAAATTAACACAGATTTATAAAAACCAATACCCTCGCCACTTTTATAGACAAAATAAAAAAAAATTACCAGCTCAAGGAATTAAAATATACATTTATAATAGTTTCTTCCACTAGCACGACTAATCTCGCGCCTCCAGCTGCCTGAAACCTTTTTCTATTCTCCGCTTTGTACAAATAGCGACCGAGCTAAAGTCACGTGACTAAACGCGCTAGTGAAAAAATGGTCTAATAGCACAGAATAGGGCATAAAACATTTTTTTTAATAGTATCACTTACCTGTGCCACATCATAGTCTGCGACATTAAGCGAGCTGACATCAGACGTGGGTGCGCTCTGACTGTCCCTGATCTTGTTCAGTTCTGATTCCTTAGCTTGTAACGAGGCTCTCAGCTTTGCGATAGTCTGACCCATTTCTACATGCATCGCTTTCAATTCCTACAAACAAAACATTAGAAAAAAAAGTAATGGAAACATAATTATATTTCAAGAGAATTAAGATCTATTTAAAGGTACAAACAGACAAGGATATTTATTGTCCGACAAGAATATAAGTAATTTATCTTAATACAGTTGTTACTGTATAAGAAAAAGTCCAAGGGTCCGTGATATTTTCTTCACTTAGAGAGTTTCTCGCTCATGGAGGTCTTCCATCGAGACAATGACTCACTTATAGTGGTTATTCGCTAATCCAGGTTTGCCTATAGCTACACCTTGCCTCAACAATTTAACCCACCTTTTCAAGACTAACAGATTCCATTTCAAACCGTGTTCTTGCTGACCGCTCTTCTTTCAATGCATCTCGTAACGCAATAACAATCCTCTCCACTGCAGCATTTCGTGATACCATCTCACCCATTGATATTTTTATCTTTTCACTTTCTTCCTTCACTTTGGATATCTGTTCCGATAGATCATCCCGTTCTTCTCTATAATATAAGAAATATGCGCTATAGTACTAATATCTCTCTTTGGAGTCATCCATAAATTATTTCCCATGTTAAGAGGTTGGCAAGGGGTTGACGAAGTTACACAATATGACAAGAGGCAGGGAGTAGACCTAAATTCTGTGACATCACACAGTTTCAAAATATAATAATTTATATCTAAGTATTATAATACTAAATTTACACTCCATACTTACTAAAGAATATTATTGAATTTATTTTTCGAAACGCAGATTTTAAATTTTACAAATGTCGAAATAAACCGATAAGGTATGCTTTGACAAGGCATAATGATAAAAAAATCTTGCATTTTTGTTTGACATAATTTGTGGATAGGCCCTTTTGTATACAAAACCATTTTTTTTAATGATATACACTATCATATATTTTTTTTTAAATATATAAATATTTAATAGCTTACTCACTTCAAAACCTTCATCTGTTCAATCAATTGTTTTGTATCTTCAGCCAGATTGGAACCTTCTCTTAATTTTTTAATTTCTTCATCTTTAGAGAAAAGCATACTCTTCACTCTCAATTTATAACTTTCCCAATCTTTCTCTAACCTACGACACTCCGATGTTGATTTCTCTAGACTTCCCTGTTGCTCACTAATTACACCTTGTGCATGCCTCAATTCATTTTCCACTTTAGATATGGCTAATTCCTTTTTACTTAGTTCTTCATTTAGTATTTTGTATCTGTAACATGAAATACAAAATTCAGTTTAAATTTTTTTTATGTAAAAAAAGATAGACAATTATATTGTTTATAAGACAGTTATCAGCATATTCTTTTCTTTGCCACAGCCGATAAATGGTTTCAACTAATGTGTTTGTAATATGTAATCAATAATATATTGAATCTGATTAAGAGATCAAAGGACCGATTTTTCTCGCTTATAGAGGTTTCTCTTTAACCCAAGGTTCTCGCTTATGGAGGTTGTCTGTCAAGATCAGACAATAACTCTCGCTTATAGAAGTTTCTCACTTATCCAGCTTCAACTGTATACTGTAATTATATTGAGACATATGATACTTACTTCTCTTCCAGCTGTCTATTTGCACTTCTGAGCTCAATTGCTTCTGCCTCTAGTTCATGATTATGTTCTTTATTTTTAACATCCGAAGTACTAAGATCTACAACCTTTTGTTTCAACTGATCTAACTGTGACCGTAACATTTCATTATCAACCTTCAAGTTGCGAGCATCCAAACCTTCATTCATTGGTGAACTTTTGTAATGATTTAGATCTGGAATGTATAGTGGAAATATGGAGTAATGTTTATTAAAAAAACACATGAAAAAATGAATCAATTAATAACTTTAGGATAATAAACTACAAGAGGACTCAATAGAACTCTCTAGAATGATAAATATGTAAAATATTTTTATGGTGTCTTTTAGATTATTTATAATGTGAAAGTTTAATTTTACAACATGTGTGCATTTTACAGACATAATTGTACTTTCTATTTTAGTTTGAAAACTTACCATCTTCAGTTTTCCGTAACCTATCCATCAAGTCGGAAAGTTCCCTGTTCATAACATTTATTTCATTTTTCAACATTGCATTTTCCACCTCAAGATTTTGCATTTTATATACATTATCCATGTGTAATGAGCTTACGTCACCCGAAAATGTATTCCCTTAAAAGAAATAATTTATTATGTATCTAAAATGAAAAAAATGTTATTTTTACAACATTTCCTATTTGTAGAGCAATAAAAATAAGAAATATACTTTGTATTCTCTTACAAAGAACCATTTTCAGTATATAAAATTTATGAGTATTGTTATTCAGTAAATAAGTAAAAATTCCTACTTCTTCTTCGTACTCCATATTGATCCATACTCCAATCATTAGGTTTGTTTTCAATTCCAGAAAATCTAGGAGAAATAGGCGATGAATTCACCATATTTGATTTTCTTACAGGAGATTTCATTTTCACCTGTTCTTGTGCTCTGTTGTCACCTATATATGCGTTAGGTATAACTATTCTTTTTTTTATCGGAGACGGAGAACGATCCTTTTCAAAATGTATCTTTTTAGGTGCCCAAAGCGGTGGACGTTTATTCTGAGTCCTTGAGTTATCTGTACGAGACGCATTGTCATATTTTTTACTTTTCATTGCATTATGACTTCGTAATGCTGCACCAGTCTGTTCGTCTATATTGTTGAGCAAAGTTTCTGCCTTGCCGGCGAGTTCCGTAAACCATGACATTGATAATGATTATTTTGATCCTACAAGTAAAATTACATTATACAAATCAAAATATTTTTTATGGATTGTAAGTATTAGCACAGATATATGTCTCCTTTCTTACTGTGTAAATCTTATTAAACGTGATATGAGATTTATGGAAACTTTCTTGCATAATTTAGGAAAATACTGAAATCATCACTCCAAAAAATTTGTATTTCTTGGTTATTTGACATTGACAAATTCGTTCAAATTGACATTGACACGTAAACGTAAACAGACTTGTTTACAAAAAAAAAACAATGTTTTAGTGAAACGAAGGTTTTAGCATCAAAGCTTTCTACAACGTTTCCGAATTGGCTTCATGTCTTAGCGGACTTAATCAAAGCTTAGCTTTCTTTAACTGGTTTTAATTTGATTGATCGTAAAAAAAATAACTGTCCCAAATCTTGCCATTTTGAAAAATAATTTTTCTCGAATATTATCTATTGACTTGACTGGACAATTGTCATCTAATGTCACGATACCTATATTGTTATTTTCTATTTATACCTATTTGGAGATATAACTGATAAGCGCATAAATAAAGGCATTGCTTAATTGTATTATGTAGTCCTTAGTTTTAATATCAGTCTAATTCTTGATTATAATCGTGCTAAAAAATCCAAGATGGACTTCGAAAGCCCTGATGTAGAAAAGGACTTTCCTGGATTGTACGCATCCGAAACTGGACGGAAAAGTAATGAAAGTGACTGTAAGTAATAATTAAACATTTGGCTCTTATATAGATTCATTAATATTTTAAGACACATTAAAAAACATTAAAGACACATAAAACCTAAGTGTAAATAACGTTCTGTCCATCATAAAACTTTAACTTTTAGTCAGTGATGGAGCGGACCATGAAAAACCAAGTAAAAAAGATTTACTTGGGAGGCGTAAAGATAAAAAGGAATCTAAGAAAGATAGGGGATATGCTGCTTTGGAAGGTGAAAGTTCCCCAGAAGAAGACACTGACACAAAGTGAGTATTATGATGTTTTAATGAAATTCTCCTAGAAAAATTGTTTCAAACACCATTTTTCTGGTACTTATAACTGTCAGTAAAATTCTGATGTCCACTTTCTTGTATCTAAATTGCTAATATGTGAAGAAATTTAAATCACGAAATTGCTTTTAGAAGTCCGTCAAAATCAAAGAAAACAAAATCATTCAAGTTTCCTTCCAAAAATAAAGAGAAGCGCGAAAAATCACGTGATAAAGAAAAGACTGTAGAAGAAACAATCAAACATAAAGAGTTAAATGAAAAAGAAAAGAAAAAGGAGAAGGAAAGAGAGAAGGAGCGTGAAAAAGAGAAGAAAGAAAAAGAAAAACGTGAGAAGTTGAAAGAAAAAGATAAAGTGAGTATTTCTACTGCATTTTCTAATTTATTTTGTTGTGCCATGACAATACATTTTTAAAACTTTTTACTTAATCCGTAAACACTCAACTGCCCTGATTTTAATTAAATTTATGTTCAAAGTTAATGAAGTCACATTGCTTATTGGATTAAAGTTAATATACAAAGAAAATACAATTATTGCTTAAAATGAACTCTGTGGTTCAGACGAGCGTTTTTCTTTGTATTTTAGGCAATCAATATTGTAATTGAATAATTTTGTAGTATTATAATTGTTTATCATAATAATAGTAATTTTTT